AATGTAACAAAGTACATTCAATCAAGTACTCTACTTACATATAATTTTGAGGTACCAGTACTTGAGGTACAAGTAATTGTATCTACCTTTTTACTTCTACATTTTTGACAATATTGTACTTTTTACTTTAAATTGTTCTAACAACTTTAGATACTTCATTACATTATTCAGATTATTAGCTAATATATTCAGATTATTAGCTAATACCAGTGGCGAACCGTGTCTATCACAACTGGACCTTCTGTAGACACACAACCCCTGCAACGTGTTTTTGTTTTTTCTAACACAAAACCACTCAAATGCGTAGTGCATGGACCGAGAAAGACAAACAAATCAACGTAACATTTTATACAATTATATTTATATAATTAAATCGATTTTGTGGTTGTTTTATCTGAGTGTTTCAGGGTATTCTCTGAATACCTTGAAGGCCCTGACGGTTCACCACTGGCTAATACACAATTTGAATCAACTAAAAGAAAACACATTGACATATAATATGTCAATATATAGTTTACGATATAGCATCAATATACAAAGTAATTAAAAAGGACATATTTTGTGCCTCTACTGTGACATGTTTACATGCTTTAATGCTGAAAACATTTTTCTCATACTGCCTGTAGCACCTCTTTTCGCTGTCTGTCTGAAACCAGAGCCCAGCCTGCTCTGATTGGTTAACCGCTTAGATAGGTCTCTCCTATTAGCCTATAACTACAATATGTTAGAGAACTAGCCAATAGAAGCGCTAATGTTACAGAGTTCACTTTTTTCCTGAAGTAAACGTGTAGTCCAATGGAGGCCTTTTAGGCATGGGGGGGGGGAATGTGTGAGAGAAACCCCCTCTTGAGTGAACTTTGGGATTTTGGCCTTTGCAGACTGTTTACATGCACAAAATCCTATATCACACACTAGAAAGGGAAAAACCCCCTAAAGGTGTAATACATAATAATGTATGCCTTTACTGAAGTAAGATTTTAGATACAGGAGTTTTACTTGTAACAGAGTATTTTTACAATTTAGTATTGCTACTTTTACTTAAAATATCTGAGTACCTCTACCACCACTGGTACTATCCAACCTTAACGTTGCACTAAAGACAAAGCTAACAACATAACTAAGTCGCCCCCTAACAGGTATTGCATAGTTGAATTTCACTTCAAACTGAGCCCCAAAGGCTTTTCCGGTCTGCTTGGAACGTTTTCAATTATTTCGCTTTGCTTTGATTACTCTCTCAATTATGTTAAACTGGCATGTGCCAGGAAGCTGTTCTCATGCATTACATCTGTTTCTATCTTTCTCCCTGTCTCTGTAACACACATACATGAACGCAGACCACCAGCCTCCTCATTTGGTCTTAACTCATCTCCAGCTGTGTGCCAATTTGCCTCCTCCAGAGTACGTGGGGTTTGGGAGGAGTGATTAGGAGAAGGCACTGCGTTTAGGTTGCTGTGTGTGTGTGGTGTGTGTGTGTGTGTGTGTGTGTGTGTGTGTGTGTGTGTGTGTGTGTGTGTGTGTGTGTGTGTGTGTGTGTGTGTGTGTGTGTGTGTGTGTGTGTGTGTGTGTGTGTGTGTGTGTGTGTGTGGTGTGTGTGTGTGTGTGTGTGTGTGTGTGTGTGTGTGTGTGTGTGTGTGTGTGTGTGTGTGTGTGTGTGTGTGTGTGTGTGTGGTGTGTGTGTGTGTGTGTGTGTGTGTGTGTGGTGTGTGTGTGTGTGTGTGTACCAGTAATAGGTTCCATCCTCATTACCCCATAATCCCCAGCTGCTGTGCAGTGCTGACTGGGTTTCCTGGAGGGAGAATTCCAAACTTGTCACCGGATTTACAGTGGATTCCCTAAAGATCCCCACTGGATTTCCACCCCGTTTCCAATAAATCTTCAGTTAATGATTATTCTCATGAATCTGTCAAGTTATTTTTTTCTTTAGACTGATCGATTATTCCTTTAGTCTGAATAATGTGAAAAGTACCCATCACATTTCCTTGACAAAGGGAACTTTTTAATTGCTTGTTTTGTCCAGCCAACGGCCCAGAAGATACCCTATTAAAAAGATGAGGTAAAACTTTAAATATTTCCAGCTTTCTCCAGCACCTGTTCAACACCAATCCTCCCATGGATCCAATAAACGTGACAATGTTTTCCATATGTTTTACCACTTTACTTCCAATCTATCATTGCCAACTGGCCGTGACGGCGCATCACAAAGAAATCTAAGCAGGGCACAGGCAACCAATAAGCACAAATTGGTCAGAGCCATCCGATCCAGTACAGCAGTTTATAACTGTAACGAATGAAAGTGCACTTAGGTGGAAGAGAAGATAGGTAATGAGGTATTTTATGTGCCATATGGTCTTTTAAATTCTGGACAGAGAACCAGCTTCTAACCCTCTTTGCCTTTTCTAATCATGTTTAATTTATCTTTAATCAACATTGTCTTATTTTATTTCACTCATTTCTACAGTTGTTAAATAACTACATTAGATTTGTTTTTGCGGTTTCAACCAGTGTCATTTGCTATAAATCCTAATGAATAAAATGTACATTTAATAGAGTAATGTTAACATTATTCTATATTTCAAGTTGAATAAAGAAACATTTATTTATTCTCCTATATATCTTATTGTCCACTGGCCTGTTCTGCTTCTTTCTTGACAGATTGTTCAAAAGCTTCAAATATTTCAATTATTCATGATGCATTTTAAATAGGTAAACAATAAGTAAAGCATATGTCCAAATAGTTCAATAGTAGTACAAATTAGTCTTAATTATTTTAACATTTAAGGTGCTGTATGTCTTTTCTTTGTCTACTGCTTCTTTATTGTTTGTTTCTCACCTCTTTACCCCACTCCTTATCCTTGTTTTCATCTGCATCTCCCCCTACAGTACATTTCTCCTTTCATCCCCTACTTAAGTGCTACCTTATCTCCCTCTGTCCGGCCTCCTTCACCCCCCCGTCACCTCTCCCCAGCCCCTTATCTCTGCCTTGGTGACACTATCGGTGCCAGGGGCCGGTGACAGATTGACTGACTGATAGGGGAGCAGGTATAGAGGCTTGGGGATGGATAGCAGGCCATGCAGATTGGCTAGCAGGCAGACCTGTGCTCATAAAACCCTCTAAAAGGAGAGCAGTAGAGTCAGTCAGACACAAGGACAGCTGGCAGGCTCACTGTACGTGCTGCTAGCAGAAGAGAAGCGGCTGTAGCTATCAAGAAAGAAGACATTTGAGATATGTAGCTCATACCCTGAGCTACCTACCATAAGTGTAGCAGAATAAGTCGAAAACCACAAGGCAGATGACAGTTGGGTTGACGTATGAGGAAAGCAGAAATGTATGTGTTACGCTCTCACGCACACACACTCTCTGACGGCGGATATGGAGCCAGGAGGGGCACAAGCAGACATCCCAAACACGACGGGCATGCAGTTAGTTATACACTTTCCACTGCTGACCACCCAAATTGACACACACAGGCCTCAGCATGGAGACCACCAGCACTCTGAGTGTGTATGCCAGTATTTATACATAAATCTGTGGTTGGTTCAGTCTGTCTTCCACATTAACATTATCTCCAGGCAACAGGTCAACACTGTGATTGGTTAATGTCTCTGCACCCACTAAACTGTGCATATCAATGATAAGAGTCATTATGACACTCATGGAGAGTAACATGATTCTGCTCTGAACACATTTTAGCACAAGTACATGCTTCAGTACACATTATTTTTGAAGTATATTAATAAAAATGATGAGTAGATAATAATCAAATTGTGCCTGATATTTAAAAAACACACTCATTGCATTTATGTATAGTACGCACAAAAAAAATCATGAATACCCTTGCTAGAACAAGGCAAAAGGGTTAGAAGGAGAGACAAAAAAAAGCATTTAGGTAGATTGAGAGAGGACGGGAAATAAATGTAGACAGATAAGTAGAGACAGAAAGACAGAGATAAATGTAATACCTCATTATGTTAGCAATGTGGACGACATGTGTTTGTATACTTGCTTTCCACTGGGCACAAGACATCGATAGCTATTAACAGGACTGTACTGGATTACCGCAGCTGTGTGTGTGTGTGTGTGTGTGTGTGTGTGTGTGTGTGTGTGTGTGTGTGTGTGTGTGTGTGTGTGTGTGTGTGTGTGTGTGTGTGTGTGTGTGTGTGTGTCTCTGTGTGTGTGTCTATGTGTGTTAACTGAGCCCTAGCCTACTTAAAACTGTCACATGTCACTTATATTCTGTTGCTATGTGATCTTTGGCCGGGATGGGCTCTTGGCTGCATGCGTGCCTTTCCCTCTCTCCGTCTCTATGTCTGGTCCAAAATAAATAGTTTTTAGCAGATTTTCATGAATATTTAAGCCATTAAGTCAACACATTTGCCTAAGAAACTGACAAGAAGTTCAGCATTAGTATTTACTGACAATATCTTGATAAAGGACAGGAAAAGAACATCACAAAGTGAACAAAAACAGCAAACTTCAACACAATGTTAGGGTTGACAATTAGTTGTATTGTGGACAATTGGATTTGATTGAGAGGTTAGAACTCCATCGTATTGTCTTCCTGGCTAACTTTGTTTATTTCACTGAGTACCTTTTATAACATGTACAGGTTTATATATTTATCTTAATGGTACTGTCCAGCACGATATGAAAGTATATTCTTTCTGTTGAACTTACTGTAGATAAAGCTATAATCTTCCAAGAAATCTTAGTTTTTGCACCTGCCATCATGTGATTCATTGAATTAAATGTCATTGGTAGATAAACTCTGAAGTCTTAGTTCTGTTAACTAAATGGGCAATAACTTTATTTTGTAGGAGTTCATCCCATGGGAAACTTTCTCAGACAAGCTTTTTCCCCATCACCTCCTCCATTCAGAGAGTGAATGGCCTGTACTTACTCTTTATATGTATTGCAGTGCCATATCAAAACAGTTTTTACTAGAAAATATAGAATATCACTTGTTGAACTTTGTCAATCTTTGTGCTGTTTTCTGTTCCAGACGAGGCCCAATGGATCCAGCGGACTACCCCATGCAGCCCTGGGCAGGTCATTACCCCGGACCCCCCCAGGCCCCACAGGGATACCCTCAGTCCCCATCCTACCCTAACCCCAACTCCCAGTCGGCCCCGTCCTACCCTGGCTACCCGCCTGGTCAGCCATATCCCCGGCAGGTTGACCCCCGGGGCGTTGACCCCCGGGGCGTCGATCCCCGGCCTTTCGACCCCCGGGGCGTTGACCCTGGGTACCACCCCCACCCAAGGTAATGAAATGCAAAGTGACTTTATATAACATGACCCATAATGCTCAGAGGCTTTCATTCTGTTATTCTTATATTGGGATAATTGTGGACCTTCCTGCTTTCTGCCTTCAGCTCCCAGCAGAGAGGCCCCTTGCGGCAGGACGTGCCCCCGTCTCCTACCCCTCCAATTCGTGGGCTGCGCTACGACACTATGACACGTGCAACAACGGGTGGGGGTTACAGGTAGGGGCGATTTGTGGATGAAGATGATCCCAGGTAAATTCTGCATCAATACATAATAAGAAAGACCATAAAAAAGAAAAACTCTGCTCTAAGAACATGTTTGTTGGGTTACAGGCACATGGTGGATCCCGGTCCAGACCAATATGGCTACCCTGGGGAGGGAGGGCGACAGCAACACCAAAACCAAACCAACCCAAGACAGAAGAATGCCATGACAGCAGCTGTGTAGACGAATCAGGTCCAGCCATGAGAATGAGCAGAATGCTAATTGCTTTGTTTGCGGTACTCCAATGACATAGAGTTGAAACCTCTAATTTGAATCACTATTATTATCAAACATTCTCTACGCCGTTTGAAGTATATGGTAATACACAGAAAGGTAAAGGAGGTTAATTATAGAGTGGCTGGCATAATGTCTTCTTGTTTGAAGTCTTTTAAATTGATTTGAGCCTTCCTGCCGTATACAATTAGCAGGGTTTTTACTTTGCAATGTACTCTGATTTAGTCGTCTCTTTCAAGAATCAGACAGAGCCACAAAGGTAATTGGTTCCATTTGAATCAAGGCGTTACATAAAGCTCTACATTTTTTTATTGCACCTCGTGGTTTTACTGCTGCCGCACAAACAGGACAAAAGATAATAGATTCTAAAGTACAATATAGCATTGCTTTGTGGTCTTCTATCTCCATTCAAACATCTAAATGACACATTCTAGCATCAGTGTTCTTGTGCAATAAAGCCAAATGTAAAGACTATTTAGAGTGTTTCCAATAAAGTGGCTGTTAGTCTCCTCAAGTTGAGAAGTAGAAGATGATGTTGAAAATGTTCCAAAAATCCCATATCTATTGTCATTTCATGTCATTCTACCACTTAGGTGTGTTTTTGAATATTTCACTTTATTTTGAGTGACTTCTTCAATGAATGAAACTTCTTGGATTACATTTTCCAAGTCATCAGTAATCAATTCATGGTACAACCTGTGTTTATTGAATCTATCCAATGTGACCTGAGTTTTGCTTAATTATGTCAGGCAATAAATTCAGGGTCACTGTTGAACCTTTATCAAACCACTACAATCGGCCTTTTGGTCATATCTCAGTCTTGTAGCAGGCTTTATGTGATGGAATATTGACGATTGCAGAACCGATAGGTTAACGAAAAACCAACAGGACAAACATTAAGTCTCTGGGGGCAACTGACCCCCAGAGACTAGGTATAGTCTAATAATATCTGGGCTAAGATCTATTCTTCCATGCGCTACTCAGAGTTTTAGTAAAATGGGATTCAACGAGGGAGTTAAGATATGACATCTACGACTGGATTGTTTGAGAAATAGCCAATTATCAAGCAAATAAAAAGCTCTATTGTTGTCAGATAAATGCCGATGAGTTCCCCAGATTAAGTTTCAGACGATGCGTTCTGCATATTTTTACTTCTGCCTGGAATATTTACCTGCATGCAACCAGAGCCTAATCAAACATCAACGGGAAATACCACTAGGACTCAAACCGGAAACCAGAACCCTTCCGTTACCAGTATCTCGTCCATTCTAATCTGAAGATCAATATTCAGATATATCTTCAAAAACTTTAATGATTTAGAGATGTTTGTACTGTTAGGTAAACCACTGCTGGGTAAACCAGGCAGAAAAGGTAATCATGTAACTGACCAGTTGTCAGTGCTCATCTTCCCTCTGTATTACTTAGCAGCCTCTTTTTCTCGTTGTCTGTGTATGCCATGTACTGTAGTTCGGTGTGATGGATGGCACATCTCTGTAACCTGGTGGTGTAGGCGTCACCGCGTGGTGGAGTGCTTACAAGTCCTGTTGAAACATGGATTGAGCTCCAGAGTGCTCTTCTCAGCACTGCACCACAGAGTATATCCATTTAGCCACTTACTCTACCATCAATTAAGTGAAACCAAGAGTGAGAGTCCAGCTCACCATTTCTGTGTTTCGCTCTACAAAGCTCAGCAGTATTCATTTCAATGGAGATTAAATGTTTAAAATGACTTTTCAGGATTAGGTGAATTGCATTTTATGAGATGAGGGTGAAACCCACTGTAGTGAATGTAACAATAGGCGCTTTCACACCAAGTACTTTTCCTAGGAATAGTTCCCGGAACATAATTACCCGGAACTCTTTAGTTCCGGAACTATCTAGTAGATCGCGTTCACACCGGAATAAATCCCTGAGGGAGGATTACGCAAATGAAGCCGCTGACGTCACTTATTCTTCTTCTGCTTTGGGATTACTGGCAGGCCGCAAACAACTTCACGGCGTATACTGCCACCCGAAGTCCCGGAGTCCGAGAGGCAGTAAATCGCCACCCGAAGTCCCGGGTAAATCGCCAGAAGCGCCAACACCTCCTCAACACTCCGGCACTCCCACGTTTTATTTTGTGTTGCTATAAATTAGTCTCTCTCCGTTGGTGCGCTGGGCTAATGCTAATGCGAGCAAATAAAATGGCGGCTTCACAAAACTTTTCGGAGTTTTACGGGGCGTGGTTTACAATTCGCCCAGATATTGGAACCTTTTCCTCCCCAGGAAAGTACCACCTCTCTAGCAGGGAGTGAAAAGGGGTGAAAAGGTTCCCGAAAAGAAGTTCTAGTTCCAGATCTTTTTGGTGTGAACGCAAAATCCCAGGAACTATCGAAACTATTCCTGGGAAAAGTACTCCGGTGTGAAAGCACCTATTGAAGTAATTTGACCGAACCCCATGCAGAGAAATGTAAAGTAGATTTTGTCTTAAACCATCTCAATCCATGATGGTTTGACAGGTCTGATAGGAAAGAAAAAAGATGAGAAAGATGAAAAGAAAGGAAAAGTATCGACAGGTAGAGAAGCAATGATATTACAATGAAGCAAAAGGATGTAGGGAAGAAATAACGATTAAAGAAAGACGTGATAAACTAAAAGTATGCATGGAGGGAGGTGGAATAAATCGTAAAACATGTGCAGTGCCATAAAGTCCAAAGTCTTTGGGTCCATAAGGGTTTGATTCAGAGGGTTTTTAAATGAGAACAAAGCAGAGAAAAGATTAAAAGTTCATAAATATTTGGGCGGCAGTTGTTCTGCAGTAGGAGGAGGGTTACAGGAGTGGGCTTTATTGATTGTATGAAGTTACTTTGGGAATTACTTAATGTGTGTGTTGTCAAGATGTTATAACTTTTCAGTACCAGTACTGAAATCGAAATTCAAAATAGTAGTGAAAGAACAATAATAAACCACAGTTTAAGGAGATTGGTCAGATGTTCAAGTTAACAGAAACCACATCCAAATTGTTCACATGCCTCGTTAGATCATTCTCTCTCTTGCTTAGTCATTGTTTTTTTACTATGATATGATAGAAAGCAGAGAAAAAGCTGTACATCTCCATATTTCAATTATTGAAACAGTCTGACATTTTTGCTTGAAACAATTACTTTATAATATGATGACAAATATGTTTCTGTCAATTGAACAGTCAATTAGTCTTCCTATTTTCTTAGCTCTGAGGCCATATAATACATTAACCCATAAATGTACATTTTAAAATGGTGATTAAATGTTAAAACATTAACACTGCACTGAAATGATGAAATCCCTTGTTTTACACTCCAGGGACCTTCAGTGTTGATAATGAGATTTTTTAAATAATCATTTACATTGAGGAATTAAAATGTGCTAGTCTGTAGCCAATATACCAAAAAGAGGTTTGTTCATTACCAAAAGGTCAACTATATTACTTTAGATTATCGTAGCTGTTTATATGCAATACAGCATATTATGAAGCAGCAGAGAAATGATCTGCTTGGGTCACATGGACAATTTTGCTGTTATCATTCCAAAATGTTTTGCACCACTTTTTGACAGAAAGATGGAATATGTATTTTTAGCCGTGTGTATCTGAATGCTGGGTAAAGCTTTGCATAGCTGCAGTTTATTGAATGTGAACATTACATTATCCTTTGTTACCGGTACGCAATTTTGCATATATATTACTCTTTGAACGCATTTATTTGTGTATGTATTTCTTTTTTATGATAGTCAGGGTTGTTGGAGTGTTGAGTTACCATGCTACTGCAAGAAACCACCTTTATTTCAGTTATTTTAGTTTTCCCTCAGTATTGTATAAGCAATTTACATGAAAAATAATCAACTTTACAGGTCAATTTCAACTTTAATTAGGAAGAAAACACATATTGGTACTTTGCATAGCATGGATAACATCAAACTCTTAGTTTTTTGGCAATACATAGTATGAGTTGCACAAGCTGAAGGTACTACCCAGTCTCCTGGATGAACAGTTCTGGTACTCCTAGTATGAAGAAGCCAACTTAAAAACATCTATCATAGAAGTATAACATGTTTTTATTAAACTGCTTTTATCCAAAAAAATCATTTCATAATGTCGTAACAATGATTTATATTACTCTTTTCCTACATTTTATATATTTATGTATATAACATTACATTTTTGCATTAAAATATCCATTTTAAAAGATTGCTTGTCAAAGTTGTCTTTCTTAAACTGTTTTAAGCATGTCTTTTTTTCAATGCATGCCCAGCACATCTGCTAATGTTAATTAAATATGAGTAAGGAGAAATGATTTCCCTCATGTCCCTCCATTCCGTGCAAGGTGAATCATTAACATTGCCAACCCAATTTAGTCCATCATTTAAGCTGCTGATAAATTGTACCTTTGTGATAAGAGATAGATGTTGGCCCCTAAATTAATGCAAGACTAATTATCAATTAGAAAAAGAAGATAAGGTACACTGATTGCAGCAGAAACTTTTTTTTTAAGTTTCTTTGGCGGGGTGCCATCACACTGCTAGGTCATATCCCTCCGATGAATAAGCATTTAGTCACAGGCTGTGGCTTTAAGGTGCTCTCTTATTCATCTCACTGGGTGCTGGACTCGCTCTGCAATCAGAGAAAGTTAGTAGTAATGAGACACAGAGGCCAAGGGACTGCTTTATCCGTCAAGACTTAATTAGCATATCCCAGACCTCTCGGCCAATGGGGAGCGGGAGAGGAAGTACTGTAATTAAATTCTCCCGAGTCACTGCCAAGGTTTATTTTGTGCACAGTGTTCAGTATGGATCTACAAAGTTTGTGTATTTTCCAATGTCCTGATTGTAATGGCTATTAAAGTACTTGTGTTTGTGTTCATGCATGTGAGAACTTAGTTACAAAGATTAATTGCAGTGTGCTTCTGGAGTCTTCTTTGTATCTGAATCTAACATGGAATTAAGCAAATGCAGAGTGTGGAAGAACTAAACAATTTACTTTATACCTACTTATAAATGTTTGACTAAATTATATCTTTCCATACTTATAATTTGTTCTCCAGTTCGGCACACTGGTAAAATTCCCACATTACATGTTAGACACTTTTATCCAAAGCGACTTACATACTCAATACTGTGGACAATCAGCACAGGAGCAATTTGGGGTGAAGTGTCTTGTCCAGGGACACAACGACATGCTGACTGCAGTGGGGTTTGAACCTGTGCTCCCCTGATCTGAACACCAACGCACTAGCCCACTGCGCCACACACATCCCATTGCTAATCTCTATATACCACTCTCTGGCTTCTTCTCTATCATTTAAACCAACCAATGTTGCTAAGATCTCCATAAGCCAATAATGTTTTTGCCATCAAACTTTACTTTAAACTTACCCTTCTTCTCTCCTGTCAGTTGTCCTTTCAGTACTAACAGACCTCCCTCCGCCCTACATATTCTCATCCGGATCTTCAGCCATCTCTTTCCTCCTCTTCACCACTACCAGTGTTTAAACATTGGAGAAGAGTACCCGTACTAACCAGCACAACCTCACTAACTATGACTCGGCAAAATGGGGTCTGACTGCTACAGACTCGCCACAATTCAAATTCTTATTTCTGCTTCATGTGAAAACAGGTATTTGTTCACTCTGACTGAAGTCTCTCCGGATTGATCTATTCTGCTACCTCACTGAAACACATCTGTATTGCTTTCTTAATGTATTTACACTTTACAGCATCAATGAGTCTTAATGTTTTTTTTTGTCAACCCACTCCCTGAAACTGATACAAGCCAGCAGTGTGGGGCTTCTCTTTCTTGAAAAAGCAGAACGGACAACAGGTGGAGAAAGTCAAACATCCAGCAAGCTAAAAGACTTAAGATATGTCAAATGAAAAGAGTGTTAAACCTAAACGTGATAAGGTAAGACTCCTGTTGTATACTTGTGAAAATTGTTGTTACTCATGATTCCAAATAACCATTTGCTCCACTTACCTTAAGGTAGCTCACTATAGGAAGGCTTTTCCCTTCAAAACTCAAATATTCTTCACATTTTCAGGTATTTCAATTCAATATTCCCAGGGTATGATATGTTGAAAACATTTTAAACCGTCAACTCATTAGCTAGTGCCTGAAAAAATCCTATTGGCCTGCATTCTTGGTGAGGTAGAAGTTCTTGAAATGTATTTTGTGTCCCCCCATATTTTCAAAATTGACCATATGACGTATGGGAAGTGCTCCTATAGGAACCAGAATATCTGATAGTATATCAAGACTCCAGTTCTGTGACATATCTTTCTTATAGTGGTCAGGATAATTTATTGTATCTTTAATTGATGCGTAATCTGTCCACTAATTAATCAAAGTACAGTATCATCCTGTGTTTCCTGACAGACTGTCTGACTGAGTGGTCTCTGGTGGTCATCTCGGTGACCGATGATGTGTTTGAGTGACTGTCAAACAGCCTGGTAGACTCGCTGACTGAATGAAGTAGTCACTGACTGACTGTGTGTGTAATTGCTCCAAACCCCCCTCCAAGCAGTGCTGGGACTAACGCGTTACAAGTAACGCGTTACTGGAACGCCGTAATTTTTGTAGCTAGTACTCTAACGCATTGCTTTTTAAATTCAATAACTAAATTACCGTTACTACATGGTGCGTTACTCCGTTACTGCGTTAGTTTTTTTATATAGTCAACAGCCAGGCGAACAGAGATGAGAACTGTACTTAAGTACAGTACTTGAGTAAATGTACTTAGATACTTCCTGTGTCACATGCGGAGACGCGCTGTGGGCGTGTTTGTGTTGTTTACTAACAAGACTATCATGGCGGCGGCGGAGCTCAAGTCTAGTTTCTCCACCTGGAGATATTCTCACTATTTCACTTTTGTCGAGCACAAAGAAAAGAACGTTTCTGTTCAATGTAAGTTGTGTCTTGGCGGGTCAAAGATCCTATCTACTGCCCAAAACCAGTAATTCAAATCTCTTAAAACATCTGCTAAAACAACATGCTGGGACGAAGCTAGTAGCTAAGACCACAGAGACTCAGCCGACGCCACTCCACCTCCACCTAAGCAACAGCGGCTGGATTTTAACCAAGGGACTGCTGGCCAGGGAAAAGTCGATAAAGCCATTGCACGGTATGTTGTAGAACACATGCAGGCTATTGCTACAGTGGAGTCACCCGCTTTCAGGGAGCTAGTTAGCATGATAGCATGTCCGGGCGGCACACGGCATATGGGACGGAAAACTTTTTCCAACTACCTGGAGAAAGAATATACAAAAATGGAAAGCCAGCTAATATCGATGCAATCCAGATTGCATATAATGCATGTCAAGTTGATCAACAGATTGTATTATTCTCCAATGCAATAACAGTACTGAAATGAAGGCTATAAGGGCATTAATGGGAGAACTTTTTTCAATTAACGAAAACGTTACTTTTCACAGTAACGCATTACCTTTGGGTTTAAGTAACTAGTAAAGTGACTGAGTTACTTTTGACATGAAGTAACTAGTAATGGACAACACTGCTTCCAAGGCTGGTTGGCATGCTGTAATTATTAGCAGTTATTATTAGTATAGTTTTAATAATCATTGGAAGCCATTGTAATTAGGATTTCCCATTATGACTGCCTGCCCGTTTGTGGATGTTGTGTGTGTGTGTGTGTGTGTGTGTGTGTGTGTGTGTGTGTGTGTGTGTGTGTGTCTGCTTGGCAAGGTATTGTTCAGTTGCAGCTATTACTGGCAGCCTGGCAGTATGCTTTGTGTTCCCTTGACTTCTGATTGTTTTTCATGTACACTCTTTGTTTGAAGGCCGCCCTTGGAGCTGCCAGATCTCCCAAAATACTCATTAATTATCGTCAACTTACGATCTTGTTTTCTTTATGACTTTGTGTACTAATGATTAGAGTGTGACAAGCCCCGTCCAGAATCAGGAGTGTGTCGGTGCACAAACCCATCCATTTAAAACATATTAATACAAATATACCACCGTGTTCAGGGTCGTTGGAACTTCAGTGAGTTTAAATCATCATTGACGGAAACCGATGGTGCAATTCAATACTGTATAAATCAGCATTGATACTGTATACAGAAGTGATACACAAGGCCAGATGTCTTTTTTCCATTTAGTCATCAGATTGAATCATCCCCTTCAGCACTTTGTATGCTCTCCAGGAAAATATAGGAAAAGCTGCATTTTGGGTGTGGTTGTTTAAAAGGTTTATGAGATCCTGAATCTCTTGGACAAAAGCTGAAGTTCAAAGTTAGGTCAGAGCAAGTTTGTTTTAGAATATTGTTTTAACGTTGAGTGTTATTGTTACATTTGGGGAAATTAGGTATAGTCACTATATGTGTGTGTATCACGACTCTGTTGATTGCAAAAATAAGTCTGATTCCATAGAGGTCTATGAGAAAATGACACTACTTCTAATTTCATTTTCATTTTTCAACATTTTCCTAAGGATGTTCTGAGATCTTATTTATATACAGCATGATGTTCATTTTGTCAATTATGGTCCGATTAAGAGTTGAATATTAGAAAAAAGCAAGGTATGCTATAAGGGATAGCTAATTTGTAATTGACAAATTGCGACCATGATCACAAGGTGTGGCTGCCACAATGTGGTTCAGCATTAGATTGTTTAGGTTAAGTACATTTTGTTTCAAGCATGATTTTCCGCTAGCCAACATTAGCATCAGAAATAATATCACAGTTAACCTGAATTAATAATGGACCTTCCAAACTAAGCTATTACTAGCATTAGCTGCTAAGCATCAAGCAATACCTGACTGCATTGGGACTCGCTCCTCCAAGGCTCCATCGGGTCGCCATAATATGGTCACTCCAAAAGAACACGATAGCGACAGACCAAATGCCAAACTTTGGGCTTTCAAAATGGTAGTCTGCAAACTAAGGGGTTACAACATATGACTACTTCCAGTAGGCTACATTATATGTTCTCAACCTTTCTGACTTGCAACTCTTTAAAACAAAGCCCTATCATGTCTACTTTGGAACCAGTTAATGTCAACAGGTTGTGAACAATTCAACCAAAGAGACGTAACCCTGCTAGTGTAAATAAACCGTTTGAGGGTGTTGACCA